CCTTCCGGTGGCTGCTCCTCGTCTGCATGCCCGCCTTCGGCCACTGCGCGTCCGCCGTGCCTAGCCCGACGGCGGTGGCCTCGGCCTTCTCGTCTGCCGTCGCCTCGGCTGCGTCCTCGGCCTTCTCATCCGGCGTCGCCTCGGCTGCGTCCTCGGCCTTCTCATCCGGCGTCGCCTCGGCTGCGTCCTCGGCCTTCTCATCCGGCGTCGCCTCGGCTGCGTCCTCGGCCTTCTCATCCGGCGTCGCCTCGGCTGCGTCCTCGGCCTTCTCATCCGGCGTCGCCTCGGCTGCGTCCTCGGCCTTCTCATCCGGCGTCGCCTCGGCTGCGTCCTCGGCCTTCTCGCCCGCCGTCGCCGCGTCCTCGCTCGTGAGCTGCTCGCCGCTTCTCATGCCCACCCTCGTGCTCATCCTCCTCGCCATCGCCTGCGGCGCCTCCTGGCCGACCGCGGCGAGCGGAAAGGGGGCTCGCGGCGCGGCGCATAGCTGCTTGGTCCTGCTTTGCGCCTTTGATATGCTTTCTCCTTGCGAGGCTCAGTTTTCGCCACGAGCTTTTCAGCGCGGGTTTCCGGGTACGGATGGGCGACATTACGCTAGTCGTTACGCCTTTGCCGCGGTCAAGGCGGACGGTGCCGTCACCGCGTGGGGCAGCTCTTCGTACGGCGGCAGCGGCGCGCCGACCGACACCGGCTACACCGCCATCTACTCGACTCAGCGCGCCTTTGCCGCGGTCAAGGCGGACGGCGCCGTCACCGCGTGGGGCGACTCTTCGTACGGCGGCAGCGGCGCGCCGACCGACACCGGCTACACCGCCATCTACTCGACTTACTACGCCTTTGCCGCGCTCAAGGCGGACGGCGCCGTCACCGCGTGGGGCAGCTCTTCGTGGGGCGGCAGCGGCGCGCCGACCGACACCGGCTACACCGCCATCTACTCGACTTACTACGCCTTTGCCGCGCTCAAGGCGGACGGCTCCGTCACCGCGTGGGGCGACTCTTCGTACGGCGGCAGCGGCGCGCCGACCGACACCGGCTACACCGCCATCTACTCGACTCTCTACGCCTTTGCCGCGCTCAAGGCGGACGGCTCCGTCACCGCGTGGGGCCTCTCTTCGTTCGGCGGCAGCGGCGCGCCGACCGACACCGGCTACATCGCCATCTACTCGACGGGGCACGCCTTTGCCGCGGTCAAGGCGGACGGCTCCGTCACCGCGTGGGGCTGGTCTTCGTACGGCGGCAGCGGCGCGCCGACCGACACCGGCTACACCGCCATCTACTCGACTTGGTACGCCTTTGCCGCGGTCAAGGCGGACGGCTCCGTCACCGCGTGGGGCGGCTCTTCGACGGGCGGCAGCGGCGCGCCGACCGACACCGGCTACACCGCCATCTACTCGACTTGTTGCGCCTTTGCCGCGGTCAAGGCGGACGGCGCCGTCACCGCGTGGGGCGACTCTTCGAGGGGCGGCAGCGGCGCGCCGACCGACACCGGCTACACACTTTCTGATTGGACATCCTTCGACATGCACAGCAGGCCCATGCCGCCGCCTCCCTCCGCCTTGCCTGCGCCGCCTCCGTCCGTGTCGCCGTCGCCGCCGCCGCCTCTGCCGCCGCCTCCCTCCGCCTTGCCTGCGCCGCCGCCGTCCGTGTCGCCGTCGCCGCCGCCGCCTCTGCCGCCGCCTCCCTCCGCCTTGCCTGCGCCGCCGCCGTCCGTGTCGCCGTCGCCGCCGCCGCCTGCGCCGCCGCCTCCCTCCGGCTCGCCGTCGCCGCCGCCGTCCGTGTCGCCGTCGCCGCCACCGCCTCTGCCGCCGCCTCCCTCCGCCTTGCCTGCGCCGCCTCCCTCCGGCTCGCCGTCGCCGCCTCCCTCCGGCTCGCCGTCGCCGCCGCCGCCTCTGCCGCCGCCTCCCTCCGCCTTGCCTGCGCCGCCGCCGTCCGTGTCGCCGTCGCCGCCGCCGCCTCTGCCGCCGCCTCCCTCCGCCTTGCCTGCGCCGCCTCCGTCCGTGTCGCCGTCGCCGCCGCCGCCTGCGCCGCCGCCTCCCTCCGGCTCGCCGTCGCCGCCGCCGTCCGTGTCGCCGTCGCCGCCGCCGCCTCTGCGCCGCCGCCGTCCGTGTCGCCGTCGCCGCCTCCCTCCGGCTCGCCGTCGCCGCCGCCGCCTCTGCCGCCGCCTCCCTCCGCCTTGACTGCGCCGCCGCCGTCCGTGTCGCCGTCGCCGCCGCCCTCCGGCTCGCCGTCGCCGCCGCCGTCCGGCTCGCCGTCGCCGCCGTCCGGCTCGCCGTCGCCGACGCCGCCTCTGCCGCCGCCTCCCTCCGCCTTGCCGTCGCCGCCGCCGTCCGGCTCGCCGTCGCCGCCGCCGTCCGGCCCGCCGTCGCCGCCGCCGCCTCTGCCGCCGCCTCCC